ATTTACCACGGACCTGGCATTACATAACACCAGCCGATGGTCCCGGGCCGGAGGGTCTAAGTCCCCTGGAAACCGAGTAGAGACCTGAGGACCGGAGCACCCACAAGCTTGTAGATAGCGTGTGCGTGCTCCCCCAACCTGATATGGTCCTCTGCTCCCGCCATACCTGCCTCTCCCACTGACCGTACTAATTCCTCCCACCTCCCTCAACCCCCCAACCTCCCCCCCCCACCCTTTCTGCACCGCAACCCCCAGACATGGCTGGTCCTGACCTAAGGGGTCATTATTATTTATATACAAATGCATGCAAGGAAATAAAATAATACAAGTAACTAGAGCAGTGGTTCTCAACCTGTGGGTCGGGACCCCATTTGGGGTCAATCGACCATTTCATGGGGGTCGCCAAGCAAGGCTGTCCGCCATTTTTTTGTTTGCCATTTTTTTTGTCCGCCATTTTTTTTCCCTTTTCCGGCAGGTGCCTTACCTCCCTTGGGCTGGGCCAGCTGGTGGTCGGCCTGCTCCGTCTCTGCCGCTTGCCAGCTATGCCTTGGCCGGCGCAGGGGGTGGAACCACGCATGCGCAGCACTCCCGGGCAGGGAAAGTCCTTGACTTACGACCGGTTGGGTAGTCCTCGACTTACGACCGGTTTAGTCCTCGACTTACGACCGGTTTAGTCCTTGACTCATGACATGTTTAGTCCTCGACTTACGACCGGTTGGGGTCGCAGCATTAAAAAGGTTGAGAACCACTGAACTAGAGTCATGTTTGTTGTGTAACCAAGGAAGGGAAGGAAGGAAGGAAGGAAGGAAGGAAGGAAGGAAGGAAGGAAGGAAGGAAGGGAAGAAGGGAAGGGAAGGCAAGGGAAGGAAGGAAGGAAGGGAAGGAAGAAGGAAGGAAGGAAGGAAGGAAGGAAGGAAGGAAGGAAGGAAGGAGAGGGAAGGAGAGGGAGAGGGAGAGGGAGAGGGAGAAGGAGAAGGAGAAGGAGAAAGGGGGAGAGAGAGGATTAGCTTATGTAATTGCTACCATAGTATCTATCTGCCATGAAAGACCATCAATGTTTATTCAGGCAAACGTCTTCATAGATATTTCTCACCTGTGCTCTCATAGCACTGGATGGGCTCCCAGTTCCCTTGTCCATCACACTGGGGAATATAAGGCAGAAAGGCCAAGCGCAGAGCCTCCCCCGCAGAGTCCAGGGATGCAAACAGACTCTTCCGATAAAATTGCAAAGCTAAAACAAAGCAAGCATAGCTTAAGCAACGAAGGCCACTCCAGAGATGCAGACAATAGAAAACATAGAACTCTTCTACTATTGATTCATAAGTAGCTATTATGTGGATCATTCAAAAGTAAGATCTGATATAAAAGGAGGCACAAGGGCCCAACTTCTTTGTCTCCCTGTTCATCATTATTAATATCTTCAAGCCTCCTTATCTCTCTATTTCTACAATTTATGCAATCCTGCTTTACCACTAGACCCCATGTAATTCTCTCCCTAGCTATATCATTTTTCCCCAAGAAGAGAGTATGAAAAAAGTGTCATACTTGAATCTGTATATTTGCTGAAGGGGATTGGGTTGAAAATAAACTTGTTAGCCTCTCTAGTGTCACAAAAATGCTAGGCATTTGTTTGTTGCTACAGCAGATTAGCACAAATACTTCCTTAGAACATCTTCACTGTAATAACCTTCTTTTAACCTCCCCTGCTGAGAAATAAACCTTTAGACCAGGGGTATCCAAGGTTGGGAACTTTAAGACTTGTGGACTTCAACTCCCAGAATTCCCCAGCCAGCATGGTTCCCTCAGGAATTCTGGGAATTGAAGTCCACAAGTCTTAAAGTTCCCAAGGTTGGATACCCCTGCTTTAGAGGTTCATCTTGGAAGGCTGGACAGCCAAACGTGGAGATGCCAAGAACTAATCCTGATTTTTGTTCATTGTTTTTTTTTCTTGGGATAACGAAAGGTGCAGAAACAAATTTTAATACAAGACTTAAGCTGTAGACCAGGGGTCTTCAACCTTGGCCCTTTTGTGACTTGTGGACTTCGGCTCCCAGAATTCCTCAGCAGCGTGCCTGGCTGAGGAATTCTGGGAGTTGAAGTCCACAAGTCATAAAAGGGCCAAGGTTGAAGACCCCTGCTGTAGACTGAAAGACCCTACCAGAGTCCATGTGATCTCTGGTTACTGAAGATGAGTGTTTTTCAAATGTGGCAACTCTAAGATGTGTGGACTTCAACTTCCAGAATCGTCCAGCCATCATTAAGTCTATATATCTTAAAGTTGCTAAAGTTGAGAAACAATGCCATACACTAACATGGTTCTCCTCCTATAATATCTATCAAGCGAACCAAACAAAGCATTCAGAGGTATCCACAGAGCAATAAAAATATTTAAGATGGTGGCCACAACCATGTGATCAATACCCAGATGTTCAATCATCTGGTCATTTGCAAGACCGCCTCCTACCAAACACCTCCCTTCGGCCAGTTCGCTCCCACAGAGAGGGCCTCCTTAGGGTGCCGTCGGCCAGTCAATGCCGGCTGGCGACCCCCAGGGGGAGAGCCTTCTCTGTGGCAGCTCCTGCCCTCTGGAATGACCTACCCCCCGACCTACATACAGTTGCGGACCTGCGCCTTTTTCGCCGAGCCCTGAAGGCCCATCTATTCCGTGCGGCCGGCCTGGCGTAGCTTGATTATGTTTCAGTGGGGGTTTTTTACGGGTGTGTTTTTAGAACAGGCCCGTTATTTAATTCGATTTTAAAACAAACTATTTATTACCGTGGTTTTTAGTATCGCCTGTTCACTGCCCTGAGTCCCGCAAGGGAGATAGGGCGGTATATAAATTTAATAAATAAATAAATAAATAAATAAATATAGGTGTGGTCGCCATCTTGACTTTTTGATCCTCTTCCTGTAGACACCCATGCAAATCCTGTAATGCTCATTCCTTCTTCAGTAATTTAAAGTAGACTGGACCACCACCGTTTGAGGGTCCTCTAAAAAAAAATATCATTTTTTCATTAACATACTTGATTGTGCAGCCAACTGGATGGCATAATCGCTCCCTGCCAACAGTATTTCTGCAAAAGTGCTTTCCAGCTGAGAAAAATTACTCCAAAGCTCTCTGCCTCTTAACATGGACCCTTGGCTCATTAAAAAGCTTTGTCCGAAAGGAAAATGAGAGCTGTTTGATTCCTGAATAAGTTGTTCCACCTTGTTAACAAATCCCACAGCTTCTCGCTTTGCAGCTTCACATGTTCCAAGACCTGCAAGAAGACAAAAGGTTTGCTCAGAGTGTGGTAAATCTGTCTAATAGGGGGAAGGAGGAGGAGGAGGCAGCAAGGGAGAAGTGGAAAGGAAAGAGAAGGAGAAGGAGAAGAAGGAAAAAGAAGGCAAGGGATAAGGGATAAGGAAGGGGGGAGGAGGGGGAGGAGAAGGAGTAGAGAGTGAGGAAGAAGAGGAAGGAGAAGGAGAAGGAGAAGGGGAAGTAGAAGGGAAAGGATTCAGATAAAAGAAGATATTAATTATGGTCAATAAAGGCATAATTATTGTATCACATCCAATTCTGAATTCCATTTACTTGTTTGTTTGTTCATTCATTCAGCCTAATGTGGCAGCAAGCAAGGAATAAGAAAGGAATTAGGATCCTCACTAATTTCAGTTTGCCTCAGTGTAATTATTCAGCTCCCAAATAGCTAATAGTTCCAGTTTAATCTATAATTTAAAAAGAAATCCTGGTTTAGTTTAACCTTGATTTGTTAATTGTGTTACAATGGCTCACTCACACACAAAATGCTAAGCCACCATCCATGGACTACAAACTAGGCCTAGGCCTATACATAATGGAAAACTAAAACCAAATGAATGTATGGCTTAGTGCAGGGGTAGGCAACCTTGGCTCTTTTATGACTCCTGGACTTCAACTCCCAGAATTCCTGAGCC